AAATAATTGGATGTGATATCTTCCTGTTGGAGAGGGAAACTGTAATTCAGTTCAACGATTCAAACAATTCTTGGTAGGAATCTTCTCTATTCTTCCCTCGATGGATCACTTCGTCGCTGTCCTTCTCTTCTCTCTTAATAAATCTTGTCCGAGATGTCCGTCTGCTCGCTTCCTCGTCTACTTCGAGAATGAGTCCCCCCGTTCACCTCGGGGCCTACACTCCCTTCCTGGCCTCGTTCTCGTAACGGTGTTGCCCCCTCCAACGAACAGGAAGTGAAGGATGGAAAAATCCAGAAGAGAGAAGACAAAGAACACAAAGAAAATCTTAAACACTAGAGTTACGGCTAGCGTGTATACAATAATATGGCGTTTCGCCACAACATGACTTCCTGTTTGCATCAGAAGTTCATACATAGTTAATCTTAGGGACAAGCAGCCCCAATTTCCATATCTGAACTTGTCTTTCATCTGTTTAACACTGTTCTTGAGTTTAAGGAAAGACAGATGGACAACAGTGGGAATTTATAGGTCTACAATTTTTTCAAATTGCAGCCAAATTATTAACTGAAAAAATGGACTTCTAAGGACTACATATTTGGTGGTTTATGGATGGGGATTGTGATTAATTGCATAATTCATTGTTTGAACAAGTTTTCTATTACATCAGTAAGAGTTCTTCCAGTTAGTTCATGTAGGAAACAAGACTGATCAGTTTTCTATATATGCTGAAGATCAGTTTGATTTTTGGGATTTGAAAAGATTGACTGTGTTAATGAAATATTTTGCTGTTTTGCAAAAATAAATAATTCAGTAGTGAAATAGATGTAACACTTTAATGCAAAAATAAAATTAAAATTAAAAAAAACTCAAAATTTTAACACAGGACAACCATAGGATACATAGAACTCAAAGACTAAATTGTTACTATTAATCCATTCTTATGAGAATCTTTGTGTTAGAGCATATAAATCCATTACAACTTAAAATTGATTATATTTTTCTCAAAACTGTTTGATTGAGTATTTCTGATTATTATATGATAACCTAGGTTAATGTAAATTTGATAATTTTAATTATATTTTTTTTTTTGTCAAAAAAAGGGGTAAAGTATTCCATTTCACAAATGCAGTCAAAGAACTTCATAAGATTCTCCCATGAGATAACACTTCCTCTATGAGTGACACAGCTTCTGAAAAACTACTCATTGTGGGAAATGAAAAAAACTCACAGATTGGAGCAACCATCAACTTTACCAAAGATGGGCATTAGAATGGGAGGAGGAGATCTCTGAATAAAAGACAAGAGGACAGATGATGATGACAGAGTTCACCTGCCTAAATTGTATTCAGAAAACAGAAGATATAATAATTGTTTTATAATATCAGTGAGTCTACCAGGGGGATGATCAACAGAGGTGCATCTTGGGAACATATGCCTTGGTACTCACTTTTGATGTAGCACCTGATAAATAAAATAGTAGTCTTCATCATGTACTGTACATGAATTACATTTGTCAACTCTCAAAAACCTGATTGATGTCAGTCATCACAATGCAATACAATGGACTCATTTAACTACAGTATATTGAAAAATCCGATATTAACACAAAAAGTAGATTAGAAAAGAGAATTTTGAATAATCTGAAAACACTTGTTAATTGATTAGGTTTATGATTCAATTAGTTCAGATTAGTAAAGTTCTACAGTGTGTTATTTTAAATTTAATTGAGAAATGCCATTATATTTTTATATAATATATAAAAATAAAAGAAATCTTTTGGTGATATATGAATATTTATTATTCATTAGTTATTTATAATTATGAATGATAAATGATAGCTATCACGTAATAAATAATCTTTCTTCCTGTATTAATGCTAAATATCCTGCATTATTAATAAAAAGTAAATGATTTTTTTAAGTAATTTATATTAAAATGATATAATGAATAAGAATATTAATATGTAAATTTTTTAAAGTATTATTTCTAAAATACATATTTTTTAATAAATTTAAATATTTTAAGATTATTAATTTATATTTATTTAAAATTTTATATGTAGATTATTAAGAAATGCAGAAGGAGAATTATTATATGATCAAAAATTAATAGAAACATTAGAAAATGCAAAACAGATATCACTTGATTTAAGTGATCAGTTGACAGTCAATAAAAAAGCAGAAGTACAAATAGATACAGCTAGAGAGGTAATAATAATAATAATAATAATACATAGTTACTTTGTAAAAAAATTCATATTTGTTTTTATATAGAAATCTAGATTCATTAGCATCTAGTAATCCTGTAAGATCAAAATTATCATTTAAAACAAAAAAATTTATTGTATCATTAAATATATTAAATTCTTATTAGAACTAATAAACTGTTCAATATTGTTTAATGTTTAAACTATGGCAGCTTGATGCTGAGTGTAGTTCATTGGGAAGGAATTTTGAGATCTCCCACTGTTTACTGCAGAGTACACAATATTTCTAAAAGAGTTTGTTGAAAAACAAATGCTAAATGCTATTTTTGCTTTTTATCTGTTTCCCTCATAAAAGATATTTTTTCCTCTTTGGATTTCTTTCAGTTAGTGAGATAGACACTAATATAGATCTTTTGTAAAAGCAAAGCGGTGTAAAGAAAACTTTCATAAAGCAGAGGATACCTGTACTCTCAAAATTGCTCAAAACTTATATCTTCATTCTTTTTAATACAAAAAGAAGTTTCTACATTTACAAGGAATCTCTTTTACTCATCAGTTTTAACTTTTTGACAGGATTACAGCATATTTACTTATTTTTTTATGAATGATAAATTCTTTGTAATTTTTTAATCTTCCTTGTCCTGTAATGAAACTGTGCCACCTTTTTTCCTAATTACATTATATAGTGTTGGACTAAAAGGATTTGATACGTTGTCTTTTGTGGTCGTCATCAATATTTTTGTATATATTTTATATTTTAGGCTTAGTATTTTTTTTGTTCTTTGTCTTGACTATCTTAGAACTTTCTATCTTTTATCCTTTCTCACTTGGGTGGATTCACCAGTTCTCGGAACGGACGTTGGGAAACAAAAGGGTTAACAACTCACTGGGGAATCAAAAGAGTGAGAAAGCTCAGATTTTGGTGGGGACCTCATGGTGACAAGAGGTGCAATTGAGTTGTGCTTGGGATTGCAGCCAGAGAAATCAGAGGTGACTACGGACATTTTTCGTAAGAATACTGGAGAACTGTATCCGACATCTGCAGGGTTTAACCTTAGTAGTTGCTCCAGTTTGTGAGAATAACGAGAGAAACTAGATTGAAACTATGGTGCCAAAGACTAAGCTCTTCCAGCATTAAGGAGGCCAGCATAGATAACTGTATGAAAATTGCCCATGCTAAGATGGACCAGTACAAGAAAGAGGTGATAAAATAAGTTTTGAAACCTATTGCCTATTGTTCACCAGCGATCCATCCAAGGTATATAATTAAAAAAAAAAAAAGGATTCCCAGGTCTTTCCTTCTTCCCCCTTCTCTTTCCTTGACAATCGGTCTGATTTCCTTATCTCCTTTCAGTGTATAATTAGGTTAAGTTTTAGTCGTAAGTTTCCGCGGTGATATTGTTGAGCATTTGTTTGATTTGATTATTAGAGAGAACTGTTCAATTGTTACATACATGAATTGAAAGCCTGTGAGTTGGAATCAGGGTTCTTATTGAACCTATACAAAAGTGAAAATAAAATTGATCTGTTATATCTATTACTGTGTTGTCTCATTCCTTGTAATTCTGTTTGCGGAAATACCTGTTTATTGCTTCGTATCATCACACTTTCTTCCTTTGTTTGATTTGAAATAAATCACCTTTCTTTATCTCACTGGATCTTGTTTGTCTTCTTTTATTTGCATACTCATGATAAATTTATACCTTTATTTATTATATATTTTTTCTGTTTTGTATTTTGTGTTTTAAGCTAATATGCATTCCTAAAAGTATTTAACTTGAAGTTATTTAAAAAGTAATAATAATTTTAGTATTTTGATAAAAATGAATTTATTTAATAATTTCTCAAAATAATAATGGCAGTTATTTGATTAATAACAATAAATTGTAATTTTATGAAATTATTTATATATTCTAATTTTTGTTTACAAAAACTCTAACTTGAGAAATTTTTTTTTTTTTTTTTTTTTCCAAAATTTTTACTAAATTTTTTGCATTTGTGCATGTGTGAAGACCGCCATTCCCCCCACCAAAATTTGTTGTTACTATATATATATGTGTGTATGTATTTGTGAATTTGTTATTTACGTATTTATGTTATCTGTATAATCTTAGTTTAGCCACTTTGTTGTCACTTTAATTAATTAGTTAGAGATTTTATTGTATTTAAACATTGTATTTATTTTATATCCTTTTTCTTTTGAACCCACATCTTGAAGATACCAAGATTGTTTATACATGGAGCAAAGTATAAGAGAAATTTGCCTATTTTTCCAATTCTAGGGACTTCCCTAATGATTCAGAGAAACAATTTAGAATATTAATTAACGGCAATAAATCTACAACATGTGAGGAAAAGGATGAGAGGACAATTAAATAATTAAATAAATTTGTAAGAGAATAAAACTTAAAGAAAGTAGGAAAACACTACTTCATGCCCCCCCGATCATAGCAGAGATCGAACATCGTTTCAAGGCACAACAGTAACCAAAACAAGCAATGAATAATGATGAGATTTGTCAGTGAAAACAGTTTTGCTTCTGTAATGACTCGGCTCAAAAGTCAAACCAATATGATAGTAAGCCATATCATAACTCTCCTGCGCTGAAAAGCGTATAAAAGAGGCACAAATCCAGACACAGACAGAGCTCCTCGGCAGACAACGGTAGAAAAAACCGGCCTCTCCAGACTCTCAACGAACCATCCCATACAAGGAAGGAATCAACAGCGGACATCAACAGTAGACTTGAGTGGACCCATCCCGCCATACTCGCAAGGAAATTTCGTCTAGAAGCGAACGCCATTTACCGGCAGACATCAGTGAAGGACCAAGCAAAAGGGAAGAAAGAACTAGATCAGGAGACTGACTGGACTTACAAGAGAAGACGGCTCACTTTTTCCTGGTATGTTGTAGTTCGGATACCCCCTGTTAGGCAGTCCCCTCATTTTATAGATAGAAATAGGCAGATTTCTTGAATTGGATTTTAAGAATGTTATCCAGAACTTAATTTTTGATAATAAACTCTTGTTATTTGTATTCGACTTTGCATTCATCCTCCTGAGAGGCTCATTCCCGGACTTCAGAGTGACTCTTACCCTCGCACCTTAACTATTGGGTTTTGACTGAATCGGCAGTGTGTCCAACAAAACACACCTGGTGGCAGGACCCTACCCTAATCTAATGTAAACTAACTTTTGACGGCCCCTGGTCCCCACACTTGTAAATTTCTCTTCATCATGCAATTTTGTCAATGTTTTTGAAAGGAGAACACACTATAATTTTTGATTTTGTAATATCATTGACACTTGTACAATTAATGATAAGTTTATGTTTTTCTCAATTATAGAATAGTATATGTAGGAATAAAACTGCAGACTATAATTTAATTGTTTATTTATATATAGTACATATTTATTAATTAATAGCATGCATTTCTCATATTTTTCTAAAAAATTACTTTTTTTTTTCTAGGCATATCGTCCATTTTCTCATCAAAGTGTACTTTTATTTTCTGTTTTAAATGAAATGAATCTCATTGAACCAATGTATCAGTTTAATTTGGATGCTTATATTGACTTATTTATCTTATCAATTGATAGAGCTCCAAAAGATACTCAATTAAAAGGAAGAATTCAAAAACTAAATGAATATCATACTTTTGCAGTTTATAAGTGTGTATAATTTTTAAATTATTGAATATTTTTTCATATTATTTTGTTAAAATAAAAATTTCACTAATGTTTTTAAGTGCATATAATCTATAAAAATGTTAAATACAAGGTCTGTTCAGAAAGTTCACAAACTTTCAAAATAGAAGTTTGCATCTACCTAACAGCTAGTCAATTTTGTCATTTTTGAAGTAATCCCCTTCTCAGTCTATTCATCAAATTCAGTATTTTTGCCACGAAATTTTTCTGAAATGCTTCTTTTGGATGATGTGCAGCTTCGCTAGTGATTTTCCTTAAAGTGTCAATGGATTCAAAATGGCAACTTTTGAGAGCAGATTTTAATTTGGGAAACAAAAATAAGTTTGCTTGAGCTTAGTCCTATGAATATGGAGGTTGGGAAAAAGTGGCATACAGTTCTTGGCCAAAAATTCTGTTATCAGCAGTAATGTGTGGGCAGGTGCATTGTCACAATGCTGTTCTCTCTAAGCAGTCAATCTTTCCTTCCTCTCTATTTCATGAAGACATTACATCACCCTCAGATAGCATTCATGGTGAATAACATTTTCTGAATAAAAAAAAAAAGCAGTGATCAAGACTTTTGTATTCCACTGAACTTGTCAAGCCTTTTCAGGCCATGGAGAAGACTTTCCCTCTCACTCTGATGACTGATGTTTTGTTTCCATGTCATACTCATAGACCCATGTCTCATTCCCAGTGATGATGCTTTTCATGAAATTTTCATCAGATCTAGTTTGTCCCAGAGACTCTTCTCTCACTTGCATTCATTGAAAGAAAATTGCAAAATGCAATCAACACATGTTTGTGCAAATGAACTTAACACAACAACAAATGAAGATAGAACAAACTACTTTTGGCATATACTATGTAAAACTTGCCACTAAAGAGCTGTGCAAGCTGCATTCAGATTCAGTTATTGATTAGTGCATAGTTTAAAAAGTTTGTAAACTTTTTGGACAGATTTCATATTCAAAATTTTATAATTATTAAAGCTACAGGTTTAACTTTGTAGCAATAATTTTATTGCAAGAAAGATAAATCTGTTCAGATCTGTACAACTCTGTCAGAACAAAGAAATATAGAAACACTAAAATATTAAGGATTCAGAATATTTTAATCGAGATTAAATGCTTTTGAGACAATTTTCCTCATTATCCAATTGCAACTGATTCAAATAAATAACAATTTTCAAAAATATTCATCAGAGCTATTTGAACATTTGAAGTGTAGTATTGTGGCTGTCTGCCATTTTGTATATACCTAGTTAGAATATTTAGATTTAAGATTCTTTGTTCTTTTCCTTCTTTCTTCTTCT